GGGAGAGGGAGAAACAGACTCCCAGATGAGCAGGGAGCCCAACTTGGGACTTGATCCCAGGACCCTGGGATCATGACCTGAGCTGAAATCAGAGAATCGGTCACTTAACCGACTGAGCCACCCTAGGTGCCCTGACCTTTCTTAATTGCATTCAGGATATACTGTCCATGAGTCTCCCCCATTGGAAGCACCTCCTGGGCTTGGCTCTCCTGCCTGGATCTGCCAGGCACCTGCTTTTTGATCGCACTTGATCTTGGCCCAGACTTTGCCCTGAAGCTGTTCTGCACCTCCAGGCTGTGCCATGGCACCCTAGGGCCCCTCCTGCCCACCTTGCTCCAGCCAGGCTGGCTGAGCTTGGCTGCTGGCCATCCTTCCTCCTCCTCCCTCTTGCCCTTCACTGGATGGAAGGGAGGAGGATGGACAGAAGTCCAGCCAGTGCACAGGAGTTCAGGCAGGGCCTTGGCCAGTGAGTACCAGGGCCTGTTAGCAGGAGATTGAGGCCAGGGTTTAGAAGACTGGCCTGCCCCTCTTGCCCACCAGCCAGAAGAGGAGGCAGGGACCATGCCCTTCAGGGAGCACCTCCTCCTGGGGCCTGGGTTTGGCCTGGGCTGCTGGAGCCTGCCTTTTCCTCTCATCTGGTGAGAAAGTGGCTTGGGCTATGGCTGGTCAGCCCCAGGAGGGCACAGACAGAAGTCCTGCAGAACTCCACTGTAGAGTCACCGTCACTGGCCTCAGGTTAGGGATATGACAGGCTTCCAGCCGTGAAGGGCACCAAGGAACTGGGGTTAGGATAGGTGGTTCCAGGCTGGTGTCCTGAAGCCTGTGCCCAGGGAAGCCTCCAGATGCATCACACCCTCCATTCTTGCTAGGGAAAGTTGCATGTGCTCTCCTGTTGGCAGGCATGGGACTAGGGTTGGTGGGTTGGGTATGCTGTGTACAGAGGGGCCAGACTGGATGGGATCTGTGGGGACAGTGTCCAGCCAGCACTCTCCAGAAGGCAGGGGCTGGGGCAAGGGCACATTTTGAGCTCCAAGGAGTGTTGTATGGCCTGTGGGGGCTTCTACCTTGAAGGACCCGTTGGAGCCCAGAAGGCTGAGCCTGGACTCTGTCCAGAAAAATGGAAAACAAAACTCATGCTCTGGGCCTCACCCTGGACCCCAGCTAGACACTGAGGGAGGCCCTGAGCATGAGTCCCCCACATTTGTTCCCTCCTTCCTTGGGGTCATCAGGGATCCTGAAACTTCGGAGGGGCAGAGAATCCTAAAGGGTCCCCCTGGCTTTGGAGCCTCCTGTACCCTTCTTCATCTTTGCAGGGCCTCACTGGGTCTGGGCCTGTCTCAACTCCAGCCTGTATTCCCAGCACCCTGCCTTGCTAGCGGTTACCCCAATGATCCAGGCACCCACCCTCCAGAGAGGCAGAGTTCATTGTTTATGGACTGGTTTGTGTGTGTGGGTGTGGGGGGTTCAGAGGCAGCGTGCTGCCCCCCCGCCCCCCACCGCCAGGGCTCTGTGTCCATCTCTGATTTGGTGCGCATCCCACACTTCAGGACTGTATGAAGAAGGCCAGAAGGTTTATTGACAGACCTGTGGGGGCAGCTCTTCCCCCAACCAGGACTTCTAAAGGCTGGGCAGGTGGCTACTGGTGGGGCTGGGGGTTCTGAGGGGCTCAGAGTAAGAGTAGGTTGTGGGTAGGACTAGCCTTATTGCTGGTTCTGAGTGGGGCCAGGGAGGGGGTGCTCTTGGGCCTCTGGACTCACTGGGTCTGACGCAGCAGGAAGTGACCATGCCTGTGGGGCTGGGGTGCCCTGGGGCAACACAGGGGTCTGCACACCGGAGCCTGCCCAGCAGCAGATGCCCAGGTCCCAGGCCTGTGGGTGGTTTGGCCTGGTTTACAGACTAGGGGAGGGCTTCTAGGGTGAACAGGAAGGTTTGAGGGGGGCTCTGTGGAGAGACTCCTGTGGCCTCAGGGGCCGGTCACCACCTGGGCCACAAAGAGGACCTTGTAAGTCTCCTTCACGTCCCCCTTGAGCTGCAGCAGGGCTGACACCATGAGTGGGTGATCTGGCTGGAATGGGAGGGGGAGGAAGGAAGGAGACCCTCAGCCAACTGGCCCACAAGACACATGTGTTGTCTTCTGGCCCACTGCCTGCCTCACCTGCCCAGGGCCTACCCAGCAGCCCCCTCCCTGGGTGGGGCAGGGGTGTCATCCCGCCAAGCCTTTGGCTTTTGCAGGGCTTCCTGGCCAGAGTCTGTGGCACCTACATCAAAATCGGCAGGTGGCATCCAGGAGATGCTGATGGTCTTGGTCTGGCCACGCTCCACAGAGCCCCTGGAGGGCTCGATGGTGAAGCCCTTGTGCTGCAGAGACATGCCGCTGTCCAGGCTGAACTCGACAGTCTGCGGGACACTGGAGCTGCAGATAGGGCTGGCGGGCCAGGCACAGCTCCCAGGAGGCAGTGGGACTGGGGTCGAGGGGGGCTGACTCCACCTGCCCTCTCAGCCCTGACCAGCAGGCTGCCCACCCCATATCAATCAAGGGGCAAGGCTGGGAGGGGCCCAGGCTGTCCAGGCAGGGGTTGCTGCAGAGGGGCTGGGTGGGCCTGCGCAGTGCTGTGGTCACCTTCTTTGGGGACAGCTGGGTGGTCCGGATGCAGCCCACCTGCAGCTCTCGGGTGGCAGGTGGGGCTGGCGTGTCTGTGTCTAACTGGATATAGTCCAGGGTCACCAGGATGGGCTTTAGCTCCTCTGCTTCTGAAGAGAGAGGACCTGGCTGGGGCCAATGGGGTGGGGTGGGGCTGCCACCCAGAGAGTGAGGGAGCTGCCTAGGGTCAGCTGGTCCTCAGGAAATCTCTCTTTAGCATGACCCCACCCTTTGGGCCAGGAATGACCACCCTACCCTTCCGGCTTCCTAGGGCTAAGGGTGCAGGTGGGCAGTAGGAGGGGTCCTCTTACTGCACCGAGCCCCTCCCCCCCCCCAGGGCTCACCCTCTCTGCGCTCAGGGTCGTAGGTGGGGATCACAGTCAGGGACTCCACAGGCACGTCCAGGGGGTCTCCGCCCTCCACGAACATCATGTGCTCGCGGGCTGCGCCCTTCAGAAGGATCTGGTGGGAGAGTTTCTGGGGACAAGGAGCATACAGCATTGTCCTGCGACCCGTGACCGGGGCTCCGGGAGGGTGTGGGCCCATGGGACCTGGGACAGTGGCCTGTCCACCTGAGTACACCCCTGGTGTGGAGCCCCCAGTAGGGCAGGCGGGGAAGGCCCGGAGGGCCCCGGACACAAGGGAAGAGGGGTCGAGGCTGGGCTGGTGGGGCCACACCTTCTCGAAGAGCATGACCTGCAGTCTGTCGGAAAAGTACAGACTCTCGTGGTCTGGGCTGAAGGTCACGGTGAAGTCCTGCGCCTTGCCTGGGTTCATGATGCCCTTGACCGGGATCACGCTGAACACGCTCTGGCCGCTGTTGTTCTGAGTGCCTGTGGGCCAGGCGGCGTCCCTGCTCAGCCAGAGCCCCTGGCCCGCCCCCCACCAATCTGCTGCCGGCACCCCTGCCCCAGGCCCCACCCCTGCCCGCCGCCCGCGGCTCAGCTCCCACCTCCCTCGGCCTTGCCCCGACGGCCGTCCCCAGCAGTGGTCCCTTGCCTCCGTGGGCCAGCTCACCCACTACTTCAGTCCTCCGGGCCCGAGAGGCCAGGAACTGTGGCAGCCGCTGCTGGTCTTCGCTCCTGGAGCGGGAGAGGCTGTCCAGCTGCAGGGAGAACTGGATGGGCAGCGTGGAGCAGTTCTGCAGCTGTGAGGATAGGCGACCCTCAGCAGGCTACCATCCTGCTGCCCACGTGCAGGCTGCTGCAAAGGGGGTCTCAGCTCGCTCTCCCCCCAGGGGAGTCACACCTCGCTGGGTGTCCAGTCGCTCTCCTGTCCAATCATTTTCACCTTGCGCTCACTGCACTTTATTGAGCTATTGGTTCATCTCGTCCAGCCTCACGCTACCCCCCTTTCCAGGCTGGTGTACCTAGCCGAATCCACTGTGCCTCAAGGTGGGGCAGCTCTGCGGTGCCCTCTGTCCTCCAGAGCTCCCTCCGTTGTCAGGCTCAGGCTAGCCTTCAGCTGAACCAGCATCCTTGCCCCAGTCTCTCCCCTGCCCTCACCCCCTTCTCCTGAGAGTGCCCCCTCCTCAGTGAGACACTTCAGGGAATCCCTGTTCTGAGCTCAGTGCCAGGTCCCGACCTAAGCCAGTGGACGAAGCAGGTGTCCTGTTGGTTGCTTGATCCCAAGGCTGGTGAGTCCCTTAGACATCGGAGAAGCATGGGGAGCTAGGCCTGCCCTCCGGCAGGTGGTGAGAGGCCACAGGGCAGTGTGACCTTGCCAGACACATCTGTAACCACGCCCCACCCCCCACAGCAGTGCCTGAGCTGAGCTCCTCCTCATCCCAGATGGGATGGCTCCTGCAAAGGCCCTGAACAGGAAGACAGGGAGCACTGAGGCAGAGCAGGTGAGGAGTGGAGGGAGGGGTGCTGGACAGGGTAGTGGAGGTGGAAGCTGCTGGAGGGTGGGGTGGCTCAGGTGGGGGTGGCCTGCACCTCCCCTGGCTCGCCTACCAAGGCCTGGATCCCTCCCCGGGTGGAGCCCCCTCCCAGGAGACCAGGGTAGGCACCAGGCCCCCTGTGATGTGCTTCACCTTGAAGCTTGAGGACACAGACTCTCTGGCAATCACATAACCCATGTCCAGAGTGTCCCCTTCAATGGAGCACGTGATCATGGGTGCCACGCCGGTGCCCAGGAGGGTCAGGGAGAGTTTGCCTCTCTTGGTGATGATGTCCAGTGTCTCTTGGGCCTACGGACAGAGACCACGTCCATTAGCATGGGGCAGACGTCTGCCAGAGGCACGTGCTGGAGCTCTGCTGGGAGCAAGTGGGTCGGGGCAGGCTGGAGCCGACACTGCTCTGAGCTCTGTGGCCGCCTCCTGCTTGCCTGCCAGAGGTGAGGGCCTAGGGGGACCGGCCGCCCCCGGGGGCCCGAGCACATGGGCTGCAGCGTGGCGTAAAGTGGGCCTGGGACTCACCAGGATGCTCTCATGGGGAGAGAAGGACAGTGTCAGGACGTGGGTCTCGCCAGCAAGCAGCTTGCTGATGGGGTTCAGCAGGACGAAGGGGCCATTGGGGTTTAGCATGGAGAACTCCACCTGAGGGCCCAGTGTCAAGGAGAGGTGGCCAGGGCAGGACTGCAGCCCCCCACCAGCTCCTGTCCCGTCCATGTGGGCTGCCTGGGCTGGGTGCAGACAAGGATACACCTAGATCCTCCAGGGAAATGTTCTGGATGGAGACCTTTTTTATGCCGCGGTGTCCTGAAATGGGAAGGTGGAATCAGGCTGTAGCCCTAGGCCCAGGAGTGGCGTGTGGGAACCCAGGTGGTGACTGTAGGGGGGCTCAGCCTCTGGGGTGGGGGTGTGCATGGGGGGCTGGGCCCAGTCAAGGCTCACCTACAGCGATGTCACCGAAGTTGGAGATGGTTTTGCCTCTGCTGGAGGTCACCACGATAGATGGTGCTACTGCCGGACACCACAGCTCCAGGTACAGGGTATTGTGAGGACTGGGGGGGGAGGGGGGCTGATGGTGCTATGCCCCACCTCCCCGCCCTTGTCCTGCCCACTCCAGCCACTGTGCCCCTCCCTCCGGGGCCCCAGATCTGGGTCGGTAGCGCAGGAGGGACGATGCGCGACTCGATCCCGGGCTTCCTCCCTCCCGCCAGAGCACCGCACCTGAAGCTCAGGGGTTCTGTCCCCTTCCTGTCTTTGGGGTCACCACTGGCAACGACACAGGGCACCACAAACTTGTCAAACTTCCCCTGGAAAGACCTGGCCAGGGTGGCCTGGGCAGCCTGGTACTCGTCGGAACTGGAACGATGCAGCAGCATGCACTCACACTCCTGTGCCCATTCTGCGCGTGCCCCAGCAGATGGGAGGCCTGGCCATGCTCCCCCGGGGCAGTGGGGGGGGGGCACAAGGCCACACCTGCTCCCCAGGGCCCTGGACCAGAGTGGGAAGGGGCCCCAGGCTGTGGCTGTCCTACCCTTTCCTGGTTCCTGTGGGACCTCCTCCTACCCCAGGGTCCTGGTCAGGCACCTAACAAGAGGGCTGTGTTCCTGGGGCCTCGGGCAAGGGTCTAGGATGGGCAAGTGACACAAGCCCCTCAGAGCTCTCCTGGCCTCCTTTTGTACCTGGGGAGGCTGGGGTTGCTGAGCTGGGAATACGGGAGTCAGGGGCAGCAGGGTCTCCCCAGCCCATGGTGTGAGGCTGTGCATAGGGACACGAGGCCCATGGGAATGGGGTGGGCAGATGCCCAGGAACGTCAGAGCTGAAGAGCCCTCAAGGCAGCGCCTGGATTCAACTGTGCCTGAAGCCAGCCCAGCCCTGGACTTCCAGTCACATGGCTCAAAACAGCTCTGTCCCAGGCAGCCTGTGGGGGAAAGTCTCCGTGGGGGTCAGGACAGGGTCTCGTCATATGGGTGCAGAGGGAGGTGGCAGGGTGGTCTTCTCTTGGGCCTACCTGAACTTGAAGTCCTGCTCACACAGCTCTGCCGTCGGGGTGGTCGAGGTCTGGAGCAGTCGGTCTTGGTTCTGCAGCCGCAGCGTGGAGAAGGACTGTTTCCTTAGGTCCTTCCTCTGGGTGGCTGTGTCCTTGCGGAGCTGGGGTGCGAGAGGCCAGCTCTGCTCAGCCCCGTGGGCACCGTGGCCGCCCCTCGCCAGCTGCTGTCCGCCAGCGCAGGCCTGGGCAGACTGCCCCGTGCAGGGGCCCCAGGGGCGTGGGCTTGGAGCAGACGGGGACCTAGGCAGCAAGCGGCTTCCTCCGGAAGACCGACCGAAGGTGCAACAGGCAGCTGAGTGTTCAGAGACCCCCATGGGCCTGTGCACCGACCCCAGTGTTTGCCTTCAGCAGTGGGGAAACAGGCAACAGAGGGGGGGATTCGCCCAGGACCAGGGTCCTCCTTCCTGGTGCCTCCCCCAACACCTCACTGTAGGAGGACAAGTGCTTCCCCGTGTGGGCCAGACGCTGGAAAAGTGTGCTTCGCGTCCCTCTGTGTCCCCAGCACTCTAGGCCGTGGGACTGCACAGCTCTGTGTGTGGGACTCCCTCTCCCCGCAGGAGCCCACGGGCTGCCGCCTCTGCGGCTGGCAGGGGCAGCGGGCCTGACGCTTGCTGGGCTTTATCCCTGGACTGACACTTCCCTTCTTTTTAAGAAATATTTTTGTTTTATTTATTTACTTATTTATTAAGATTTTATTTATTTGAGATAAAGCACACAAGAGAGAATGGGGGCGTTCAGAGGGAGAGGGAGAAGCAGACCCCCCCTGAGCAAGGAGCCCGATGCGGGACTTGATCCCAGGACCCGGGATCAGGGCCTGAGCTGAAGGCAGACGCTTAACCATCTGAGCCACCCAGGCGCCCCTCCCTTCTTTCAAGTTTACATTTGTGAGGCTGTTTTCACGGCTTTACGGTTGTAAGAAGCCACACTTGCCGAGGGTCATGGGCCCCTTTGCCATTTTATCTGCTCTCCTTCCGTTAAAGCTCCACCTGCTTCTCAGGGAACGCCCCCCGGGGACCTAGGCTGCCTGGTGATGCTGCCTGGAGGAGGAGACGCTCTGAAAGCTGACACCCATCATGCTCCACAAAGTCCACCCGGCACTCCCGAAGGCACTCGGCCTGGCCCCCTGGAGCCTGGGGGGGTGTGCAGGAAGCCACAGCCCCTGCTCTGTGTCCCCATGCCCCTCCTCTTGGGAGTCTCCATGCACCAATTTTACCTCCACTGGTTTGGTCAGGGCCTGGGAGGCTTCCTGGTGGATCAGCTTGCTGGGCAGCACGGGCTGGAACCCCACCTGGATCAGGCATCTCTGCAAGGAGAGCCACCCAGAGGGCAGAGCTGGCCCCTGCTGGCGCCTTGTCCTCCTCAGCACCCACTGAGGTCCCCCCGTCCACCCTCCCCTGCATGTCCCCAGGTCATGCTGACACTCCTGGCAGGACACCTCCTTCACTTCGTGAAGGCTCCTTCCAGGGCGATGCTCCCTGACCACTGCCCCTGGGGGCTAGGTAGGTCACCGTGCACGATTATCAAGTCCACTCTTACCATGTAGGGCAGGGGTCCTGTGACGGAGATCCTGATGAACCAGGACCCGCCCACAGCTCACATTAGGCATGCCATGCGTGAGAAAGGAAACTTTGCATTCAGCTATCAAGATTTGGGGGTGAATTCTTCACCCCAACTTGTCCCTGAGACTGGCACAGCCTACAGGGAGGTCCTGGGCCCCACCGAGGGCTCACTCCCAAGTGTCCCCAGTGCTCAGGACAGCAGAGGTGCCCATATGATGGTGGGGGCAGAGCAGATGGCATGGGGGGAATAAAGGAAAAAGGGAGGGAGAAGGAGGGAGCAGGGAGAGGGAGAGAACGCAGAAGCCAACCACAATACCCCCTTTGGGGATGGGTACTTACACAGTATTTGCTAAGTTTAATAAAATGCATTTTAAATGATCACACAAATTGAAATGCTGCCAGGGCCCAGGTGTGCCCAGCCCCTCATGTGCCCCTCCTCACTTTGTCCTGGCAGGAGCCGCCCTAGCTTTTGAAGGGAAAGATCTAAGCTCCAGGAGGCTGGGATGGCCCTGACCCAGGCTGAGAGGAAGCCCTGCCCCCAGGCCCGGTTCTTTCTGCTCAATCAGGCAGAGTAGGGGCAGGGAACCCTTGCTTAGCTGAGTGGACTCACACCCTGCACTTTGGTGACCAGGCCCTCTGTGCCCATCGCTGTGAGATCCAGGGCTCTGCACGTCCTCCCTCAGTCCACACTGCCAGAGCTCCCAGGCAGGTGCTTGTGGGGTCAGCCACCCGTGGGTGCCCCTGCCTCTGGGGCTTGGGCTGGGCTGGGCCTCTTCACCCCGCCCAAGCTCATGGGCCATGGGGACCTCCTTGGCCCTGCTTGGGTCTGACGAGGGGCAGAGCTCACCCCCACCTCTGCTGTCCAGGCTGCATCGCTGTGGCCAAGGGTGGACAGAGCCAGGCACCCCCAGGGGAGCTCCACCCCCCCGCCTACCTCGGGGCCCACACTTGCCTTTCCTGGCAGCACGGTCCCCACCGAGGGTGAGATGGTGATGGGTGAGTCCGGGGGCAGCAGGAACTCAAAGGATGTGGGCCCCACGGGAGAGGCGTCCTCCGAGCCGATGCGGGGCATGGAGTGGGTCAGTGGGTTCATGCTCACGTGAGAGTTGATGACGTACAGGGTGGCCACGGACATGTCATACAGGGAGGTGGCTGCAAACTTGACCTGGTAGTGGGACAGCTCCAGGGGCGGGTGGACGCCCACAGCCCGGCACGCCAGCTTGAAACACCTGGAAGGGCCGGTGTGGGCGGCTCAGCGGGGGCACGGCCCGCAGGGTCCCCCTGCGCTGTGGAAGGTGGCCCCTGAGGGAGACGGTGGCCTGCGTGGGCACAGCACCTGGGACCACGATAGCAGTTGTCACAGATTTTGCTCACTACTTCGTTAGTGAATTTTACTGTCTTTTGAAGATACTGCAGACTCCTGCACGCATTTAAAGTGGATAGCTAAAAATTTCATCCTAAGTTGCTGAGGAGGTAATTTCTGGCTTATTTTGTTAAATATTCATCGACATTTAAAAATAAAACCGATAAATTGCTCTTTAAATATGAGAGCAGGAATCTATAAACCCTAGTTAGTTAATTTCTGCCATTATCCTTTAAAGAAAATGAAGAGATGTGGGAGGGTGGGCTTTCCCTCCCGGAACCATGGCTCCGTCTGTCCGCGTCCCGGTGGAGGGCCCCCCGCGCTGCTGAGCCTCAGAGCCTCCTCGACTGGTGCATCTTGGCACCTGGCCAGGTGGTGCCAGTTCCTGTGACCCCTGCTGAGGCCCTACGGCTCTTCAGAGCTGGGACAAAGTAGTCAAGGTGCTCCAGCTGGCAGCTTTCAGCAGCTCACAGGAAAGGAAGCTCTGCCCATGGGTTTGGTGGCCACGGAGGTGTGGGCGTGGCTTTCCATCAGTGAGGCCACAGGCAAGTGTGGCACCATGGGCTACGACGTTTGAAGATTAATCTTTAACTTTGGCTTATGTTTAGTGTGTTATTTGAGTGTTTTTGGACCATGTGCGATCAGCCTGGTATTTGAATTAAGATAATGTATCAAAAAAAAAAAAGAACAGATATTTGGTATTTTAACCACTGGAATATTTCCATTCCACATCTTCTTCGGACCCAGATTTCTACTGTGCTCTCTGTGTCGAATTTCATCCTAATTACATACATTTTAACGCTCTGATGTTGATTGGCTATGGTAACCCAGCTGTGATGTTGCTCATACATTGAAGTACTGAAATACATATTTTTATGTCTTGTGACCACAGGCTCTAAATGTGGAACAAAAATCCTTCTGTGTGGCGATATCATTGAGGTTATTGTTAGTATGCGATTAATTGAAAAACCATAAATGTATGAAATGGGATAATCATGACGTACAGAAAATGAGATTTCACTGCACGTGTTTCGGGATGGTGGACGGAGCTGCTGTTCCCCAGCTGGTTCCAGCATCAGGAGGGGTGAGACCGGGGATGGGGGCGCTGCCTGGCTCCCCTGCAGGGCCCTGGGGACAGGCGTGGAGGGAGCTTTGCTCCCCAGCATCACTCAACCCTATGAGCCTCTCCTTCTGCAATCACGCCACAGCACCACATGTCTTCCCGCGTTACTTTGGATAGTCCCCCTCTGGCAACTCATTTAGGCCCTCCTTCATTTTGTTGCAAAGAAAGAACCAGAAACCCCCTACCTGTCAGGGGCGGCATCACCAAGGCTCAACTGAGACTTGCCAGATGCTGTGGTTCTTATGACTGGGAGACAGTGGGCTTTACCCAAGAGCCTGATGGGGAACGTGGCAGGGGGGTAGTCAGGGCCCTTGATTTTCCTTGTGGGTTCTAACTCTGCACTTCACTCCCTAAGCTCTTACCACCCATGGAGTTATTCCTGCTCACTCACAAGCCTGTCAGATCCCAGGCGACCAATGGTCCTGCCCATGGCCACATGCCTGGGGCCAGAAGGGGGTTTGGCCCGTGGACCCCGGGCAGCCCAACACCACCCAGGGCTGCCCAGGTCCCCAGACAGGGCCAAACAGCAACTCAGGCCAGAATGCAGGTGGGAACAGGAGAAGAAAGGAAGGGAAACAGGAGGGCAGGAGGGGGTCAGTGGGGCTCAGTGCCCAGCTGGACACCTGCACAGGATGCTCCAGAACATTCCTCACTAGGGCTGATAATCTCAGGCAGCAACAAGAACAGGCCCTTATCCCGGACCACCCCCTCTGCACCCTGTTTGATTTCTCTCTTTCTACCACCTCCTCCATCCCATCTGTCAGGGTGGAAATGGGAAGCTCAGGGAGGTCCAGGGACTATCCCCATCACACAGTGCATTAGAGCAAGGGGGGCTCATGCCCAGGTCCTCTTGGGTACAGAGGGACACTCTGCATACCACACACAGACACATGCTCACACATGCATGTTCACACGTGCACAGACATGCACACCACACAGTCCACACGCACGCTCACATGCACACACATCCACACATGCATGCTCACACACATTCAAGCACACCACATGCACGCTCACATGCATGTTTACACACACACACCACACATGTCCACATGTGCACGCTCACAGGCACACCCACACCCACAGTGCATGCTCACACACATTCAGGCACACCCCTCATGCTCATATGCACACATGTCCACACATGTGCATGTTCACATGCACATACCACACGTGTCCATACGTGCACGCTCACATGCACACACACGTCCACAGTGCATGCTCACACACATTCAGGCACACCCCTCACGCTCACACGCACACATGTCCACACATGTGCATGTTCACACGCACATACCACATGTGTCCATACATGCACGCTCACATGCACACACACGTCCACAGTGCATGCTCACACACATTCGGGCACACCCCTCACGCTCACACGCACACACATCTACACACACGGTCACACGTGCATGCTCACACACACATCCACACATGCACGCTCACATGCATGCACACACTTATACTGCTCCCATGCTCATACTATCATACACATGTACACACACACAGGGGCGAGCAGGCCCAGCAAGCAGGGTCCCGGATCCCAGGAGCCTGTACCTGGGTCTGAGGTCCTGGCAGTCAGTCGTGTCTCGGCCCAGCCCCATGGTCTACCCAGCTGGCAGTGCTTGAGGATGGGGGAGGGGCTGCCACCCCTGAGCCAGTGGTAGCCGGCCCTCCACGCGCCCCTTGTCTGCCAGGCTTACCGGTTGATCTCGGACTTGCAGACGAGCTCGAAGTTGTACTCCTTAGCCTTGGTGGGTTGGAAGATCACGTCAAGATGCAGCGTTTCTAGTGGCAGGATTGTCCCAAACCCGTCATTGGGCTGAATGTCCACAAACTGGCAAATGGAAAACCATTGATGCCAAAGTGAAAACACAGTGGCGTTTGTGTATGAGCGAGTGTATGTGAGTATCTGGCTGTGCGTGTGTTTGTATGTATGTGAGTGTCAGCATTTTTGTGAGAATGTCTGTCTGTCTGTGATCACATGTGCATATGTGAGTTGTCTATATGTATGTATGTGATGTGTCTCTGTGTCTGCATGCATGGAGCACACACATGTCTGTGTGCATTATGTCAGTGTGTTTACACACGTGTCTGCATATATATAAGTGGATGGCAGGGTCGGCAGCAGAGCAGCCCAGAGAGAGTTGAGGGCAGCCTGGTCTGAGCCTCATCTTGGCTGCCCTGCAGGGCCAGGTAGGCAAGAGTTCTGGAAGGAGGGGAGGGAGAGGAGTCTGGAGTCCTGCCGAGGTGTGGGCCAAAGAGGGAGAGACAGGCTGCGACAGAGAGCCTCGAGGCAAGGCGGGGATGTGGGCAGTGGGGATGAGGAGGGGGACAGGGAGGGAGAGACCCAGGCGGAGGGGCCTGGAGGTGGGTGTGGGGTCCGGAGAGGCCCGCTGGTGCCGGGCATCTGGACCCTGGGGCAGCACCACCCTGGCCCACGCCCCAGCTTCCCGACCCTGTCCCCACCCCATGCCCCTCCCCACTGAGCCAGGCACCTTGGGGAGCCCGACGAACCCAAACCCCTGGGGCAGGAGGCAGTGGTTGTAGAGGCTGATTTGTGTCCTGACGGCCTCGTAGACGGTGCAGTAGCCAAAGTCCACGGCTGAGGGGCGGAGCTCCAGGTCCGAGGTGGTGACCACAGCATGCACGGTAAACCCCACCGGCTTGAGCTGAAGTGCACAGGGCGAGCGCCTCCTGGTTACTTGCAGTCTGTTTCTGCAAATGTCTCCACGCACAAGAAAGGCAGAAGCATTGCTTCGACCTTGTGGCCAGACGCAGGACTCTCTTTGAAAAGGCCACTTCCCTGTAGTTCCTGACTTGGGAGAACAGGAAAGCAGGTGCGAGAAAAGAGGGGAGGAGCCTCGGGTGGACGTGGTGTGGGGGGTGCGTGAGTGCACATGCGCGTGCACACACATGCACACACTGTGAGTGTGCATGTGGGCACGTGTGGGTTCCGGTGCTGGGGGGACACCCTGCCGGCCCTGCACAGCCCCCAGAGGTCTCTTCCCGATCCACAGACACCCTGTCTCATCGCACTGTGCAGGGGCTGCTGGGGTGGGAGACAGATCTGCTGGTTAGGCCATGGGAACCCGCCAGGGCCCTGCCTCCCCACGAGTGCCCAGCATTCCCGGGGAGAGTCCCACGCAGACCTGGTCAGCCACCCAGATAGTCATTGGGGCCTCTAGGACTCTGCTTTCCTTGTCGAAATACTTCCCTGCATCTTCTGGGAGGGAGTGTCTGAAAGAGAGGATGCACTCAGCGTGGAGGAGGACCCTAAAACTGACCTGCGAGTGGGGCTACACAGCGTGCTCCCCAGGGCGCTCACCGTGGCAGGAACTTGAGCTGCACAGCGTAGGAGGACTGGGCCTGGATGTAGCCTGTCTCTGGCAGGAGCTCCATGTGCTCCCTCAGCTCCTTGCACACTTCGAACTTCAGACGCAGGGCTGCTTTCGACCTGTAGGACACCCAGGGACACCAGACAGCGACGCTGTGCGTCTGCGCCCATGGGACTGACAACCCAGGCCCCACGGGTGCGCCGCGTGTTCGGGGAGCGTTCACAGCCCGGCTTGCTAAAGGGTGGCTTTCCTGAGGAGGAGTTCCTACAAACAGAAACCCTGCCATGGAAATACGGCCCCGGTCAATTCTCAGAAACCTGAGTGTTTTCTGGGAAGACTTTTGTGGGGCTAGGCACCGCCCAGTGGGAGGACCTGGAGGGGTGTGGGCACAGGGGTGGGACCCCTGCCTGCCTGGGGCTCTGCCCTACTCCTGCCCAGGCCAAGGTTGGCCCCAACAGGCCTGGGGCCGCTTCCCTTGGTTTTGTCCCCTCCTCCAACTCTGGGGCAGCGGGAGGAGGCAGCGTGGGCCCCCCACCAACCACGTGGGGTGCCTGCTTCTAGTTAGTGCCTCGGGCTCCCAGGCCCCCATTTGGGCTCACCTGGAACCTTTCCTTTTTCTACCACAAAGGTCCCCCACTCTCCTGCCTGCCTTTCAGTCTCCACCAAACCAAGTGTCCTGGCCGACTGTCACAAACACACGCCCTGAGTTTACCCCACAGGCCGACTGCTGCCCCCCACCCTTGGCCCTCCCCCAGAAAGTGGCTGCCCCAGGCACCCTGGGATAAACTGGCAGAGGCCGGCTAGCCCTAGTTTCCCAAACAAATCCATGGGAGCCCCTCCTGTGTCCCCTGACGTTTGTGGTCCTGGAGCTGAGACAGGCAAGTTCCCCACGGACGCAGGGTCACGGGGGAAGTCTGCGGGACTCCACACCTACCAGCTGGTTCTGTGCTGGAGGTGGCCTGTGAAACCCGGGGGCCTGGCATCAGCAGGTGCTGGGACCAGGCCTGTTTGGGGAACGAGAGCCCCCTGAGCGTTAACCGCGGCATTTGCCTACTTTTCTCCACCTAAGTTGTAGTTCAGTAAAAAGCTTTTAGATATTACTGCTCTGGTATCTGGAAGCCTTTGCAAAACCCTCTAGAGAGGAACTCGCTTCTTTCCTCCGGGCTCCATCCACTTTTCCTCTCATAGCTGTGCTCGGGCTCTCCTGTCTGTGTCCACGAGGTGCCGAGGACCTGGGCGCGGAGGGGGTAGCATCCCCTTGTTGCTGGAGCTGCTCACCACAGACCCAGGGGTTGGAACAACACAGACTTATCCTCCTAGAGTTCTGGAGGTCAGAACCAGACACGGGTCCCACTGGCTAAGGCCCAGCTGTGGGCGGGGCTGCTTCCTTCTGAGGCTCCAGGGAGAATCCCTTTCCTGGCCCTTCCCCGGGTCTAGGGGCACCGCATCCCTGGCCGTGGTCCTGCCTCTGTCTTCCCATCTGATTCCCTCTGTGCCCGACTCTGGCCCTGCCACGCCTCCCGTGACGATGACCATGAGGCCGACCCCCGTGGGAGGTCCTCGGCTGACTTGCACACGTGGGTCCCCTGGGTCCAGGCTCACCGTGTGTGCACGAGGACGGACTCCTGGTACAGCCGGTCATACATACACGTCTTCAGATCTATGCTGGGCTTTGGCACCCAGACGGGCACATCGAGAGCAACACCCAGGACTCTGAAATACAACTGAGTTTGAAGGTGCAAAGTCAGCGACATGCACGGTCGGCAAAGCAGGGGATGCTGGTCAGTGCTAACGCGGCCCAGCCCCGGGGGTCCTGTAACTCTGAACAAGCATCCGAAGGTTAATCGTTAAACCAGCCACGTTTTGGAGTTCTGTGGCAGTTCTCACGTCATATAATTTAAACAATCCTTTTTATTATCAAAATGTTTGAATATAAAAAGGTAGATTAGTATAATGGATTGTCATGTACCCATCCCACAGCTTCATGATGATCAACATTTTTAGCTGTTTAAAAAAACCCTTTCAGGGCGCCTGGGTGGCTCAGTTGGTTAAGCGACTGCCTTCGGCTCAGGTCATGATCCCAGGGTCCTGGGATCGAGTCCCACATCGGGCTCCCGGCTCAGCAGGAAGCCTGCTTCTCCCTCTCCCACTCCCCCTGCTTGTGTTCCTGCTCTCGCTGTCTCTGTCTCTGTCAAATAAATAAATAAAATCTTAAAAAAAAAAAAAAAACCCTTTCATTACAGAATAATGCATCTCACAGAGAGACGTACACTTTATAAAACTCTCCCAGCTAATACAGATGGGGGCTCAGAGGTCTCCAAAGGACCAGGGACAGAGGGAACCACTTTTTCCCCTCTGCAGCCGCTGGCTCCTCCCAGCCAAACCCCGAGTCCTAGGCCTCAGGAGGTTTGGGGGTCTGTGGGGGTCCTGTAGGGACAGGCTGTGCCCAGCAGCCCTCTCGGGCTGGGCAGGGGCCTGGCATGGGAGGCACTGTCCTGGGGTGGAGGCGGTGAGCCGAGGACTCCCCACACCTTCCTCCAGGACCCCCAGCCTGGGAAGGGGGCCACCAGCCCACAGGACGGGACTCATGACACTTAGAACACCCCAGCCAGCAGACCCTAGGCCCCAGGGTCTCTGGGGCAGAGACAAGAAGACTGCAGGATAAAGACAGCACATGTCAGTGGTCTGAGTGCTGGGGAAGGCGCGGAGGGCGTGAATAATGTGAACCACCCAGTTCGGGGATTTGCTTACAGCCTTACACACACGTGCACACGTCACGTCGATAAACTCAGTTTTGCCTTTGGTCACAACAAACACGTCAACAAATTAAACAGTTTGCAGATCATGTTCTCTGAGCAAAATTTAATAAACCTATAAGTAAATAAATTAGTAACAAAAAGTAAAGAGTAAAAATGGCAATGACTTGGAAACGAGGAGAGGCATTTCTGTGATCGAGAGCAGGGGCTGTGTGTGCGTGTGCCCGGACGCGTGTGTTGGCTATGGAGGCTGCCAGGCGTGGGGGGCGTGGGCAGCTTGCTCGCAGGCTCGTGGTGGGGTGAGCGCAGAGGGGCGGGGACCCCAGGGCCCAGGGCTCGGTCCGTGCCGTGGTGTGGTACTCACTGCCGGGCACTGCTGATTCTTGAACACAACCCTGAACCTGGTTTGGACCTCTCCTGGGATGACCGGCGTGAAGATGACTGGCACTTTGATGGAGCTGAAGGGGCCAATCTCACCCTCTGTCACCTGCGTGGGAAGAGAGATGCCACGGGTCAGTCAGGCTCCACGTTTCTATCAAGGCACTTCCCCCGTCCTCACCGCGGCCACGTCAGCACCACCCCTTGGAGGACTTACTGCTCAGCGTCACAGCAGAACCCCGGCCGTGTGTGCACTTGCTCTCTTGACGACCCGGGGCCCTTGCATGCGTGCACACACACACACCCCCCATGCTCCCCTGGGGGCGGCCCCACCCGTGTCTTCTCAGAGTGGACCCAGGGCCACTCCGCTGCTCCAGTCCTGCCAGCCCCCGCTTGGGATGAGGGTGGCCGCAGGCCGTCTGGCAGTGCAAGCTGCCCAGAGGCTGCGAGTCCAGACAAGCCTCGTCTGGCCAAGTGGAAGGGCCGCCCTGGGTGGGGGGGAGCAGGTCAGGAGGGCACGGCCGGAGGAAGGGGGCCTGTGAGGCAGCGGGCCTTGCTAACCTCTCCCAGCGAGATCTCTGTCTGTTCCTCGTTGGGAGGTATGGTCACGACAGTGGTCACGGTCACTCCCTCTGATTCTGGAAGAGAAGCAGGTCCAGATGAGACGGCTGGCTGGAGTCCCAGGGGGATCTGGCCCCTCCCCCTCCGGGACCACCAGCTCCCAGCCAGCTCCCTCCCTCTGGCCCTGCTCTGCAAAGAGGAATGACCCATTGGCACAGGAGGGGCAGAGCGGGGAGGGGCTTCTCAAGTGGACACGGACAGTGGCACCATGGCCTCAGGACTGGAGACTGGGGGCGGGAGAGGGGACCAGAGTTGCCGAGGCCCCAGCTGGGGGAGGTGAGCTGGCTGTGTGTGGCCGGTGGGGTGCAGTGGCCTGAGGGCCAGAGCCAGAGAAGATGGACTGAGCCAGCCCTTTGGGGGCCAGGGGACTGGAGAGTGGGCTCAGAGGGGTTTTCTATTCAGAGGAGGAAGCCAGCAGAGAGGAGGGCTGATGCAGAAGGAGGGGAGAGGTGCCAGGGTACGGCCTGGGGGTGGGAGGCGTTCCTTGGGCCAGTGGAGCAGAGGGACCAAGGACTGAAAGTTCACGGTGGTATCGCCTTCCAAATGTCAAGTCCCCGTTACGTAGTGTGGCCTGTGTGTGTGCCCCGCTTGGTGGGCTGTGCATGCGGACCCACCCCGTGGCTATCTGCCGGGAAGGCCCCTGAAAGCAGATGCTGATTCCTCCTGTCTGAGAAGGTCTTTCCGTGGGCTTTGCTCGCGAAGACACAGTTTGACCGGAGAGGTGAAGGTCAGCACCCCTCCGAGTGCCGTGCCTGGACTGCCTGGCCCGGCTGCCACGGAGATCCCAGGTGCCCTCTGGTGGCCTGCCCCAGGCCCGCCCCTGACATCCCGTGTGCCTGGCATGGCCGAACGATTCCCCTACAGGGTAGTGTGCACCGTTTCTGGGTCCTGGGGTTGGTCTGGGCCCCTCCAACTTGGCGGACCTGTCACCCCCCTCAGCAGTCACAGCTGTCACCTGGGTGGGGGAGGGGCCAGTTGGCTGCCACCACCTTGATGTTTAAGTCCTTGTCTGCTTTGGGAGTAAGCACTATGACAGCCCAGGCCTGAGCCAGGGCAGACCCTGGGGTCACTGTTTCATTCTGCGTGGATGGTGGTTGGGGTCTCTTGGCGTCCCAGTGTGGAACTGTGCTGATCTGTTTGCTAAGAATGTGGCGAACTTTCATCAGTTCTAGAATCGGGCTCGTTAATGATTGCGAAGGCTTCCTCTAATCACGTGTCCAGTGTTGTTCCCTGCGATCAGTCATGGGATATTTATTCACTTCCGGGATACGAGTTTAGATGTGTTTCAACATTTTAGAACGTTCTCAGCGAGTATGTCATTAAATACGACCGTTTCCCGACTCGAGGAGACAGATGAGACTTCCTCCCTCTGTCCTCCATGGCTTGTACCATGCTTTCATGTCTCCATGAAATTAGTTTGTCTGCAATTAGAAAGCTCCCTGGGGGGGCGCCTGGGTGGCTCAGTCGGTTAAGCGACTGCCTTCGGCTCGGGTCGTGATCCTGGAGTCCCGGGATCGAGTCCCGCATCGGGCTCCCTGCTCGGCGGGGAGCCTGCTTCTCCCTCTGACCCTCCCC